TTTACGCCCATCATATCAGCAGTCCAGTCTTATTCACGTAAATAAAAACTCAAGATTATCTGTTGATCAGATTTCAGCAGATTTCTTTCGAAGAATTTTTGCACGAAGTTCGTCTTCCACTGGCGGTGATTTGAGCAGATTTTCTAGACGTTAAACTCGATTGCAGGCATTTTTGAGCTTTTGGTTGATGTGTGTCTAGTAATATGTATCTACATAAAGTGTTCCATTTATATAATTGACCTTATTTAAGGGACAAATAATTACGGTGATTTCTAGAATCAGAATCCTTTAAAGTACCTTCATTCTCAATGTAACACCCAACGGATAGAATATAGTTGCTAATAAACAGCCAACAGCCTAGCTAGTGGGCGATCGTCTTCGAATAGCGGGGTCGATATTCCGTGTCAGTGGACAAGTGGTGGCGTCACCCTCGCGGGGCTATTCCAGTTAAACCCACTATGCGCGTTTTGGTATAGTCTTTCTCCGGTGAAACGAGGCGCCCGCATGCCCTGCTAATCCGTCGGAAATTATTCATCCTAATGAATTGAATCCATTCGAAAATCTGTGGAAAAGTAAGACGAACGCCAAATCGTCTCTCCTTTAATATATTTGTTATGGTACTATGTAATTCACTGCCTCCACCTATTAAAATCATCATCAATATCCACCAATAGTTTTAGCTTGTTTTAACTTAGTACGTTTCTATCACAAGCCCTCCCAATGGGTGGAAGTCCTCCAGGTTGCCTGACAAGTAGCTGTCTATCAACCCAAAAAAAGAAATAGGTAAATTACACATGAATTGACGTCACAAGTAAAAATCAACACTTCCGGTTCTATTTTGACTTTTTAGGTTGCATAATTCTAACAAATTTGGTTTTTGACTGTACAGACATGTAATTTTACAGACAAGAGCAAAACTAGGGTGTTGTACCACCCAGTTGATTAGTGACATACTAAACCGTAAACGCCGCATACCCTTGGGCTGAGTTAATGCAACTGTGAGAAATATGTATTGGAAAACGGGCTTCTATGTTGCCAATTTTGTGCCACTTGTATTCAAAACAAACCAACTGATTTTGTGTATTACATTTCACTCGAAATGGTGCTTATTTTCCGACACTTTTCCACTACGCACGTAGTTTTGATGTTTATCAATGTATTTATCAGTAGCACTGAAATCACGTCAACGTGTTGGCAATTGTGTACGAGAAAGGATTTTGTGACACCGATGGAAATTGAAGTCTCGCGCGCCAAGCTCAATTGATCCACGACCCTTTCGTTGTTCGCTAGTACGAGGAATAGCCAATATCTGGGTAAGTTTCACACCTTGTGCTGCTTGTCAGAAGACAGCCAGTCCCTGATGGAAAAAGAGAAATTTAGTTGTGCTTTCAGGTGCTCATGTCTCGCCGTCGTGCCACGTGACTCTAACAGTCCAGTGCTATGATAGTCTGTGTGGAAAGTCTGACTTTAAATGAGCTGAGGTTGCTAATTTTTAACCATCCAAACCCACCGGCTGCGGGAATACGAAGGAATACGGAGGATATCTGGTCGGAATTTTTTAACCATTATTGTAATTAAAGTCATCAAACATTACCCAATGAATAGCTGTGAACTTCCATTAGACACCCTTGTCCGTTACTTTTCTTCATTCCCCAACGCAGAAAAAAAGACGATTCTTTGCGCCACATGCTTTTACTACTTATTCGCGCCGTGCATATTCAACCGTTCTTAGAAATCACTTCATTTCAAGGAGTCAAGGTTTAGAGCCACATAATCGTTATTAAATATCTTGAAGCCGCATATTAATTCGACCCTTGTGGAAGATACATAATGACTTACTGATGCTTCTTCATTGCCTTAGTGTCGTGACAAGCGTGATCAGTGGGTGTTGTCAACTTTTGAGTGCGAATGTGGAATGACGAATACAAAATAACACAAATGCATCGCTAGTCTACTGATCGGAAACAGATCGCATTTAGAAAGCTTACTCACGATAGCCGATGGCAGTGATATTGTCAACTTTTGAGTGCGAATGTGGAATGCAGAATACATAATATCACAAAGGCCATCGTTAGTCTACTGATCCGAAACAGATCGCATTTAGAAAGCTTACCCACGGGTAGCCGATGGCAGTGATAACTGGGGCAGTTTGGTACTAATCGGTTTTCGACACGTTCTAACTAAAAAAACTGGTTGGACGCATCTGGGCACCGCAATTCATCACGCGCCTATGTCCCCAACATGCAGGGTGGAATATCATGTCTAAAGTTCCATGCATCAATTTTTATAATTTTGTTCAGGCGTCAGTCAATTTGTGTTGTTTCTGTCAAGCCGAAAATTATCTACTTGATTTGCACTCGCAACATGAGCACTTTTTGTTTGAATTAGGAAACAAGGTTACTTGGTGCATTCTGAAGAAAGGGTTTGGATAACTTCAAATATTGTTTGCTTTTTCTGGAACTTTTTTCCTAAAATATGGTGGCCCGCAGCACTACAGGCACTTCACAAGTTTCACGATGTTTACGGACGATTAATAAATTAATCCAGTTCATCGGTTTCTCCGCCGATGTGTCCTCGTAAGAGTGTGTTAATTTTTGACGACAAATGTATTGTCAATGGTAGCATGTACGTAGGCGGTGTGAAGTCTAAGATTTCGGCCGCTGTTTGGGTTCATGGACCCTAATTTGTCTTTATTTGCCATTCTGTTTAAAACCCGGGACCGGTGAATCAAGTCATCTACAACTCAAGAACAACCTTTTAGTCATGTTTTCTCATATGATTTTGTTTAAGTTTGTATAAAACAGTTGTGGTGTTTCGTTCGGTTAATTATCCTTATTATTGTGCTTCTCTGGATGGCAGCTTGAGATGGTTTCAGTCAATACGAGAAAGCGCTTCAATCTCAGCCAACCGGAAAACCAACCAAATTATTAGGTGCTACAACGGCGCAACACATGAGGTAATCAGTGGAATGAACCCATGGGAATGACTTGCTGGTGACCTCTAATTAAGTAAAACGTGTAAGTCCTACTGCGACCGGGTATGACTCATTAATTTGTTAACAATAACTCAGAAGTCATTTGCGGAGCGCTGATCAACGACCGATTACGCCTTGGGTTTACTGCGAAAAATTTGGCGCGGCAAAATTGTTGAGCACGAAAGCAGTAAGCAACCTATTTTCTTATTCAGAAATGCTGGTCGCCCTTTGGCAAGTGTTTTTTTTGCAAAAGTTCAGACCGACAGTTCAGTAGCACTCATTCCCGTTGGGTTTACAATCGCGGAGACTGAACAGCCGTGTTCTTATTTTTTCTCACTTACATTTGTAATTACGCTATGCTTAGCACGATCAGATTACAGACTGATTTGTTCTCCTGAGATTATGTGGGAGATAGCTTCGTCACGCTTTCTGTCTAGAAGTTCATGCAGAAAAGTCCTTGTCTGTTTCTCGTAATACGGAAGTAGACTGTAGATTTCTTGTGTTTTTGTTGTCTAGTTTAAGATAAGCGTTATATCGTGCAACTATGCCATCCTCATGCACGCCCCAATGGAAGAAAATAAATGCGTCTGGTTCCAAGAATCCGAACAGGATGTCTATTTAAGAATTACTTATGTGTACTGACTGTAAGAAAAAAAGTTTGAACCGGTTCTACATACACGGTTCCAATTTAGCTTTTCGTCGCATCATCTGCTGTGCCAACATTTAGCATTTCTACGTTTGAGGGAAGGTTTCTGCTAATGTACGCACGGGTGTGTTCACTTAACGGTTCAAAATGTATACAACGGAGATTTAAGCAACTAAATACTGCGTTTTACCTACACTTGACTTGCCTTTATTGTCAAATCGACCTACAGGATTTTTAAGCCCGACTCCTAACTAACATCATTAAGTAAAGATTTTTAAAGCATACTTTTGTTAGCACATTTTTAGCGCTGGAATCTCTTGGACAAGAAACCCCAGAAGCCAGCCTCATTGAAACCTGTGAAGCACATGGTTCTCATTACTTTTGTTCATATCACCTGTATGTTGTTTCGTAGCTCACGCGCAGCTACATCAATGGGTCGGCTCCGCCCGTTGCAAGCGGTCGTGTTTTCTACTTGCCGTTTTCTCCATAGTTCTTTGCTGAACTGCGGTGCTGTTTTTTGAGCTTTCATCCATTCTCCCACTAGCTTCTCCGGAGAAAAGCGTTTTGCCGGTTACAACCATATTTCCTCATCAACCTTAAAAAGCAGCCGTCGAACGTGCATCGGATTAAACGAAGACTTGCCCCTGGTTGGATGCGTCGAAACGCGTTGAGTTGCAAAATCATTGACGACTTCATTTTTTAGTCACTTATTCGGCCGCCAGCCACTCCTTGCTCGTTCGGTTATTAATTTGTGTCAACCCATTTGCTTGCGGGTGGTGTGGTACCATTCTCAGTCGGCTGATGGCTAGATTCTGCAAGCAATTCGTAAACATTCCACACTGGGGGCAACGCCTTTGATCGGCTGTGATCGTTTTTGGCACCCCATTTGTGGCCACAATATGATGCACCAGCATTCGGTTGATCGTCGTCGGCCGTTGATTTGGTGCGGCTGCCGCCTCGGCTCAACGCAACAGGCGTTCTGTCATTATCGCTTTGCATTGATCTCGGCTGGTCGTCACCGGAAAGGAGATCATCAGGTCAACTTGCCAATTTCTGAGACAAGAATAAGTTCTATGAGATTTTTGCTCTTGTCGTGTCCCCTTTCATCAGTTAGCACCACACTATAGATGATCCATAACCTCACTTCTCAGTCCGCGACTGTAGGTCCTTTTTCGAAGAAAGTCGTACGTCTTGATGCACTCTGTGTGTGCCATATCGTGGCGGTCAGCGATAAGCTTCCGTCTCAGGACGCGAGGCATCATGGTAAAAATCACCCTAATGGAACGCCTTTTGGGAAACATTGCCAGCTTTATGCGGACCCAGGCGATCAAAGTGACTCTGGAAGGTGTCAAGTTATTTGCCTCGCTCCACCTTCTCAAGGCTCCTTCCACCCAAAAAGGCGGCTGCAAAATTTCGAACACAGGATCCTGACGTTCGAGGTGCACCAACCTTCCCGGATGCAGTTATACGATGAGACTATTGTCTACAGTTGCGATCCTGGGGTCCACATCCTCAGCTCTTTCTTCCCTGGCATGTGCTGGGTCGGGGGTCGTGTTCCTACAGCCGAAGTGCCCAGGGCGCGAGCTTTCTGCTAGGATCTATTGTGACCCTGGGTTGTGATTGGTTTCGACCAGAGATATTTGTCTAGGCAGATATGTCTTCCACCTTCTCAGGGCTTAGTTGATTGCTGAACATTCCTTCCTGTTGCTTGACTACTTCTGTTCGGCGTTAGCCAGGACGTGAATGGCATATTCCAAAACTCCATTCCTATGCTTAAGAACTGCGCCTATACCAAAATCACTAGCATTCGTTGCAACAACGAACAACTCTCCTTCCCTGATTTGTTGAAATTTCAGATTTTACCCGAAAAAGTCGTATAATGGAGCAGCAATGGTATTGAAATCGTTGACGTACTGGCTTTTGTATGCTGCTCGTCCAAGAAGACACCATACACACCGCTTTGAATTCGGAGCATCACAGCCCTAATTTCTGTACATTTCTCTGTTAGTGGCCTTCCCGTTACGTGCCAAACCTCATGCCACAGCACTGTTACGAAGTCCGGGAAACCTGTGTCGTTGATTCATTTATCTGCAGGCCAGCCTCCCAAATAAGCTTAAATGCGGCTTTAAGGTGACTTGTGTTATATGGTTCCGCAATTATGTATACAAAGATATCTTCTCCGTACACAGCAATTTCTTCGGAAGAAGCGAGCGCTGGCGTGTGAATGTCGCCGCATATAAAATGAACGTCATCCTCCTAAATTTATATTGCGGGTCTCCAAATGCGAACGTCGATTCCTCCCCGGATTTCGCCTTCATGATACCTGCCAGTATCCTGTTTGCAAGTCAAACACAGAGAAATATCGAGAATGCTGGAGGAAATCGAAAATCTCCGCAACTGAATGCTCAGCAACCGACCGATTTACGGTCAGATCATTCAGACGCCAATAATCTGCGCAAATCCGGTATCTTTCGCTTGCCTTTCTTATTAGCAATACCGGGAAATCGTGCGCACTATCGGCTTACTGGATTAGGCAACTTTGCAAAGCCTCCAATTTGTTTATGAACTTTGTTTCGCAGACGGAGCGGAAGGAGGACGTAAGGTCAAAAGCATTCTGGCGATACGGAAAAATCGCCATCAATCAACAGTCAGAAGCCAACATGATCTTCCTCGCCCGAGAACAGTTAGGGGATTCCCCCAGTCTGTGTAACTGAGTTACTTGTAGACTGGCGGTGATGTACGGGTGTTTTGTGAATTGCACAAGAGAGCTGTGCGATTGCTGATGGCTGAAATACAAAGGTGTTTTGGGGATCATTTCCAGAATACACCGATGCTCTTATATATCTCTGAAAAATGTACGATTTGTAAGAAAGCGATGCTTGATTGGCATATGGGAGAGCATTTTTTTAAATTTTTCAGAGTAGAATGTAAACGTACAACTATGCAGTTTGAGAACTGACCGAAAAATCAGACAGGGTGACTACTACAAAAGGCTACACAGATAGCATTTCAAAGTGGACAAGATAACTGTGAGTGAATCGCACGTAATGGAACGGTCGTCCAGGCTGTATGTTGTAAAATGTCGGTGTTGGTTCACCACGTGATGACTACGAACAACGCTCTGATTCGCATCGCGGGATTATCTAGTTCCATAATGTAGCCCACCGGCTAAAATTAATGTAAATGTCAAACAAGAAATGCGATATTCGAAAAACTTCCTATATGATTTCGTAAACTTTAATTTGCCAAAGTCTCGGATTGACCTAAGATGAATTCAGAAATGATATGGCTAAACCCCCGAACCATCATCCGTCGTAAAATAATTGGCGTTCTATGTACAACTCAAATTTAAAAGCGCGCTCATCATTTCTAGATATTTTGGTCTGTTTAACGATTAACAATAATTTAATGGGTACCAACCGAAGAAAGAGAGAACAGTTCCGAACTGCCTAGATACACCACAGAAGCATAGCTTTTAACAGGCTCTAATTGTTGCGGAGACCACCACATTTCTCATCATTCTAATGAGCGCCAAACATAGTGTTATGTATAGGTAACCCAGCTCGGCAACCTTCGTGTGCCTGTGTTGTTCCCGTCTCTATGCATACATGCAAACTTCCTGGCAATGCAGGTCCCATTCCTTCGTGATCCGAACGACCAGAAGCGGCCCCCATCATCTTACGTTCACTGGGGTTCTCTGTTAACCAACCGTGTTCTCTCTACGACGCAGCGTGCGTCTATCGGTTAAAAGCCCTTTCAAGCAACTGCAACTCGCCTGTTTAAGGTTTTGGGCTTTATTTAAAAAACTAGAAGACAATTACACATTTGAATGAGTTTTCACTAATATAACCGGAAAGCAGTGTGACATCCGATTTATCTAGATATTCTACTTGGGGTCATAATAAAACTAGTTCCCTCTCAGAGCGTCTGAATCTGTTAGAATTATTTCCATTGACGGTGTTCCCAGACCTAAGAATCCTGACCTCATGATTTGATGACTGTAACTCATCTACGTGTTCCCTCGCGTGATCCAAAACCTGCTTTCAAAGTACCTTCCCGTTAGCGCTATGCTGTTCCTAAAGTCCACTAATTAGAAGGACTGAGAGACAAGCCCGATCAAGATACGAGACGTACACTGTCTTCAGTGATGCCGGTAAGGCGGGTTTGCTTGTATTATGAAAAACGCAAGACCGAATAGAATAAGCGTGTAGCGTGAGGAATCCAAATGAGCTTTCTGCTGGCAAGCTCTGGCAGTAGAAAGCCTCAACAGCTGTATTCTCCGAAACTTGCTTTGTTGAATTGGAAAGCCGGTTGGTTTTATCGAATGATTGTCATTCTGGTTCCGATTTATCTAGAATATGAAGCATTTTTGTGAAGCTCATTTCATTCAAAATACCTTGTTTTTTGCGAGGAACCGAAGAAATCTACTGGTTGGTTTGTGCACTTAAGCCTACTTTCCACGCCACTCAAAGTGAGTTTGAGTTTGTGATACTCTCAAAAGCAGCCAAGTGGAGAGGTTATATGAAGCATTTTTGTGAAGCTCATTTCATTCAAAATACCTTGTTTTTTGCGAGGAACCGAAGAAATCTACTGGTTGGTTTGTGCACTTAAGCCTACTTTCCACGCCACTCAAAGTGAGTTTGAGTTTGTGATACTCTCAAAGGCAGCCAAGTAGGAGAGGTTAAAGTCTCAGTTGAAATGCTTCTGTCATTTTGATCGGACAGCGACATCGGTATTGTGGACTCTGTGGAATTCGACAAAGTGATTGGGATGAAAAACCTGTCAACGTGAACTTCTACCTCATTAAATAAAAAAACGTTCAAACTTTTGTGACTCGTGTACACTCATGATATATTCCGTTAGTTGACATTTCCGTATACTAAGCGCAAACTATTGTTTTTACTTTGTTATTCAACGGTACATTCAAGAATAAAAAGTCAATATTGTGATAATGAATACTTAGCGTTCCGTCAAACCGATTCTATTCGGAGTATCGTAGCGAACGTTCCACCTCACTGAAAAATCTAAATCGTTTGTGAAGTTTGTTTTTCCATCTTGCGTTCGATGGATGTAATTTCCGGTCTTGAAACTAACGGGATTTTACCCGCGTCAGTCAACAAAGTATCAAGCGTACTTCAAGCAAATCCAATCCATAGGCTTATTTTCGCAGACCGCCGTGAACATCTTGAAGCATTGCTTCGTTTTTCCCGCACTTGCTAATGATATTTCTAGGATATTATGGCTTTGAATTTGAATGTGGTGTGGTATGTTATACTCATTCCTGGAAGGACACCTAGAGCCATTTATCGGAGTTAGTCCAGCCCGATTTCAGTTTTGTTGTTGTTTTAGGTAAGAAAATCTCAAGTTTACTCAACACCGGTTTTATGTTAGTAATTGCAAGGTAAGCAATCAATCAAAATTCGTTGTTGTTACCTACATGTGGATGTTCACAGATTCAGGGAAAACGCTTAAATTATATTCTTACTACAGTTCAGGTGGACATTACTTTAAAAAATCCCAGGACGCCAATTACCATTATAAACGTTAAGGCGTATGTCACACCTATTTCAAAGAACAATTACCCCGGGTAACGTCAACCAGATATTTCGTCTCATTTCACGGCACACTACCATTGTTTGACTTTGGGTCATTACGTAGGGTAAAACGAGGATGGGTTGTTTTTTTGTTATATTTCTCGACTGATCAGTTGTGCTGCGTAGATGGACAGGTGATTGCTGCAGAAGATCAGTCAGTGGGTAATTTGTATCCGGGGTTCCTGATGGCACCTCGCCGACAGTGCTTTGGATGAAGTGTTAAAATACAGGAATTCTGAATGTGAAATGCACACGATATACGGCATATTAAAGCCGTGTGGACGGGAACATGTTTATTCAGCTTAGAACGAGAAGTCTATGGTTTTCCGCAAATGTGACATGAATGAAATTTTCTATTCGGGAGTGCTTCATACGCTGAGATGCCAGCACGTTCACTGACCACCAACCACTCCTAGCGATGTCCTCACGTGTGATTCTTTTGACTTTTTGAAGTTTTGAATCCATAGGGATGGAAAATACATACGAATGGTCACACTCGTGAATGCGTTTGAAGGTCTTCCTTAAGCCTGCATGGAAACCGGGAGACATTTGGGCATTCCATACAATGGTATCGAATGTTTGGAATATCCGTTCTCTGGCTTGATTCCACATGTACATGTGTCTCAGTGGCTGAACCATGTGCGGAGGTAAAAGCAAAATCTGGCCATCCAGAATGTTTGCCATTCAATTGTCAAACTCAGCCAACGAACCGACAGTCACTTGATTAACAACCAATAAATTACAATCGTTGGCAGATGCAGCTGGACACGCTGTGAACACAAGGCTGTTCACATAATTTGGATGCGAAATGCGTAAACCTGATAAGTACAATAAGGATAATTGCTAGATGTACCCTACAATGGCCGTAGGGGTAAGAGGAATCCACAAAACATTTCATTTTGACAACCCATGGTTTGACTGTCCAGTTCGCTGCTCAGAAAAATGGGAACCGATACTTAGTGTGTGGACGACGGGTTATCTCGATCTACTCTGGATAATGGCGTTATGTGGAATAGCAAGGAGACGAAAAAGGAAGGGATGCGTATCGCAACAACAAAATGCATTTGCCGAATGTCGGAAAACAGTATTCGTGAGAAACATTGTCTCACATCACCAGCCAGATGCAATGACTATTGAGAAAGCCATTTATAACTCAGATTTTTCGTTCACCAGCCAGATGCAATGACTATTGAGAAAGCCATTTATAACTCAGATTTTTCGTTAAAGGGCCCTGTTAGTTTTCATAATTTTTTGAAATTAGTTTTGCGCATGTACTTGTTTGTGCACACAAGCAAGAATAGTTCCAGCAGACGGAATGCACACCCAGATTTCCTGCACGAATTAAAACATGCGATTAATGGTCAGTCGGAATCTTTGACCAAATAATAAAGTCAGGTAAAGCAAATATAGGTGAAAAAATTTCGGCTTTTTTGTAGCGACCTGAAGAGTATTGCCGAATTGTTGAACAAAAGTTTCGATGAATGAACCCAACAGTATTTTCGGGTAACTCTCACAGTGCATGCAGGATTGTATCAGGAAAGATCAAGTCAAGATGTGCCTGGCATCGGTTTGAAAACACAGTTTCTGCGAAATTTTGCCCCAGTGCCGGCTAAAAATCCCTCATTTGGGGCAAATTACTTAGAATTTCGTCTGCAGGAAATTTCCATCATTGTTATTTGCATTGTCTGCGCGATGATACAGAGCTTTTTATCATATGTATGCAGCCGCAAACCCTAAACCTATTCTCCTGTGCGCTGTCGGCCTCCATTGTCAAGCAGATTAGTAAAACGCTTTTACCAAATCACGAGAGAGGACTCAAAAATCATTTGAAATAATTTCTAAAGCAACGAACTACGAGTTTGATTTCCGTATAACCTCCGCGTCTCTAATGCTTACGCAGATGATGAAACAAACTAGTGTTTGGAATTAAAGGGTCACCTGTATACCTGTCAGTCAAGTTGACAGAATTATTTTTCTACGTCACCCACACTAACGGTCATGGACAAGCCTGGATAACGTTTGAGTACGACACTTATTCAACAAAAATGTTTCATCGTTAGTGTACAAATTACCGCGGAACTAATTTATTCTGTAAAATTAATCTAATGACGTTCCTGGTGGGCTATGTATATACCGGAGATTATTCCACGACCCGATCTAACCGCTTTGACATGTCTATATATATATATGTATATATATATATATAATTATTTGTAAAATAGACAGTCAGTGGAAAAGTGAATAGAACAGAACTTACGGGTAGGTGCGTGAAATTTTCCGTCCAATCCCACCTTTTTCCGCAGCCCAGTTGGACAATTATGAGCAGTGAAATTCCACTTGGCCCTCGCTTCATATTAAACAGCCGTCGGCGTACCTACGTTTGACATTTTGTAACCTAGCTCGTGAAGCGGAAATGCAATTCTATCCAATCATATTTCATCAAATTATATCTAGTCAAAAACCACCGGTATTCGAAAGGCCACGTGTGCGTCTATCTTATCAGGAAAGGTTGTTTTAAATTTTCTGCAATACAATCAGTTCTGCCAGGAAATCCATTGCCCAGCTTTTCCACCA